TTCGGTTTCAGACGTATGTCTACAGCGCTCATTTCCAGGAGTATTCGCAAGGCCTATGTTTGCAGATTTACGTTTTTGGCGCTTGAGTTTACATTGTTGGAAAAACCAAATTTTTTTTGGATTTTGGACACACTTACGGATGACTTCAATCCATCACATTGAATCCGATTATTCGTTCTCAGATTAATTTTTTTTGCATTGGTTACAATTGTTATTGCTATTACTCGACATTTTGACAGATGTATCTGACAATTGGGCCTGGGAGAAAAACATGATATGCCACATATTCAAAAAACTGGAGATAGTTTTTTTCAAATTTCCAACAGATGGTGATAAAAGCAGTAAATATTGACAGAATGTCAAATAAATCGGGTTTTTCCCGGAATAACAAAATAAGCCACAAAGAAAAAAATTTTATTTTTTATTGTCAGTTGGTTGGTATATTTTCTTAAGAAATGTTGTGCTCGTCAGAAAGCTCCGATTCAAACACGGATTTCAGTGTTGGATCGTGGAATGATCCAACTTTTATCCCACAATCCGAAGAAAGTGATATTGTTATGGTGTATGTTAAAAGTTTTTAATAATTTTTTAAAAGTGGCTAATCGTGTTATTATGTAAATTATTTAAAATTTTATTCTGTGAAAGAATTTATTGTTTAAAATACGGCTTACTGTGTGAAAAGTTTTTTGATATCAAATTAAAATAAATTTATTAAATTTTAGTTTTATTTAGTGTTTAACAGTTCCAATTTATTTTTTTTAGCGAGAAAATGAAATTTTAATTTCGGAAGAAAAAAAACTACTCGGTGAAGGCAGAGAAAACCATCGAAAAAAGAAAAACGTAAAGTGAAAAGAAATTTAAGAGAAGCATATAAAACGTCTGACAATGAGAAAGTGGAGGCTCGGCTACTGGGAGACCCTTGTGGTTGTCCGCAGAAATGTAGACAAAAGTTTGAAGGCAAAGAAATATACATTTTTCAAGAATTTTGGGATATAGGTGAATACAATACGCAAAACGCATATCTTTTTTCTCAAATACAGGTTCAATTTCCAAAAGAAGGTATCTGAATAAACGCAAAAATTCTGAATATTCCCGACGAAGCAATTCAGTTATTTATAATGTTAAAATAAATAGACAAAACATAAAAGTGTGCAAAAAAGAATTTTTAGCTGTTCACGGCTTACAGGACAGTAGAACTAGAATTGATTTAATTGTGAAACAAATAACTTCAGATGCAGCGCTCCCAAAAGCTGATCAACGTGGAAAGCATAGCAATCGGGCCAATAAATATTCAGAAAAAAGTTTGCAATCCGTAAGATACCATATTAATTCGATACCAAAATATACGAGCCACTACAGTAGGAAAGAAAATCCTGACAGGGTACATTTCAACTCTGATTTATCGATACAAACACTTTATGCAGATTTTTATGTACCTTGGTGTCAAGAAAGACATATTAAACCAGTATCAAATGATAAGTTTAGACGAATTTTTGGAAAAGAATACGACATTGGATTTAAGCTACCACGTGCTGATACGTGTAAAACATGTGACTATTTAGAAAACTCTATTTCAAGCTGCGAAACCGAAAGTGAAATTAGAAAATTTAAAATAGATTTAGAGCTTCATCAAAAACGTAGTCAAGCAATGCAAAATTTTATGAAAAAGACTGTTGAAGATGCAAAAACAACCTTGCAAAGAAACGTGATTACATATGACCTACAGCAAGCACTTCCCACACCTACATTAACAACAAGTGTAGCTTTTTATTTAAGAAAATAATGGACCTATAACTTAGGTATACACATTTGTGTAACTGGAAAAGGATATTTGGTCAAAAAAAATCGCAAAAAGAGGCTCTGATAAAGTAGCAAGCGTCCTTTTTAATTTTTTGAATACACAAATGCCAGAGACAAAAGAATTGATACTGTTTTCTGTTAACTGTGCTGGTCAAAATAAAAATTGGACCGTTATGGCTTTATGGCTTAATATGATAAGAGAAAAAAAATACGAAAAAATAGAGCATTGGTTCTTAGTACCAGGACATACTTTTTTACCATCTGACCGTGATTTTGCGGCAATAGAAAATTATAAACGGAAAATTTCAAATGTTTACACAACAGAAGAATGGGCACAAATTATAAAAAAATCCAAAAAAAAAAATCCTTTTGAAGTTCGGATGCTATTGGCAGAAGACTTTTACAGTTTTGAAAATATATTAAATAAAGTCGCCAAAAAGCTCGTAGCAGATGACAATTCTAAAGTTAATTTTTCTAATGTGAGATGCTTTATGTTTGACGCTAATGAACCAAATAAAATATTTATCAAGCATTTTTTAAATGAAGATTTTAAATCAATTACTATTACTAAAAGAGGCAGATCAGGAAATATAGACAGTGTCGAGTTACCAAAAAAATACAGCACTCTAATAGCTATAGATGGAAAAAAAATTAGAAGATTTAAGAAAATTGATGCCTTACATACCCTCTGCTCATCACTCGTTTTACATAAACTTAATTGGTTTTTCACAAACATGTGAAAATGAAAATTTAATCGAAAATGTACACGAAATAGAAGATTTAGATTAATATTCTGTTTAAATATTTCATATCACTTTAATACTACTTAACTTTGTTTTTACGAATTTAATTTATTTTAATTTTAAAGAAAAAATGTTATGACTAAATAAAAAATTTAATTAAAATATACATTTACTTGAATATTTATTTGGGGCAAAAACAAGATACGACTAAAATTTTGAAATTTACCTTGGGAGAAAAATAAAAATTTATTTGGGGCAATAACAAGATATGACTCAAATTTTGAAATTTACCTTGGGAGAAAAACAAGATAAGCCACATTTTTTTCAAAAATCACCCTTTCAATTTCTTCTTATCGATTTTATATTCTAGAGTTAATAACCTAAAAATTCCAAAAAAATTTATTTAAATCTGCTTAAAACTTTGATTTATAGATTTTTTTCAACTTTCAAACTCAGTTTTCTCGAAACTACAAAAGTGTGTCATATAATGTTTTTCCCCCATGCCCTTCAGTTGATTTAAAACATAGAATAAGATGTTGGTTTTGAAAAACCCCAAAATGGCTGGTTTTTTCCGTGATTTTGGAGAGTTGGAGGCAAATGTAACCAACTAGATGACGAAAGAAAACTGTACATTTCGAGGAGAGGCCCTTTTCAACTCTTTACCTTAATACAAATTCGCTAAAAATCAAAATAAATCCTTTTTCTAACGCTTCGGTCTCCCATTCAAAATTTGTTCTATCCTAAATCCCTATTAATTTTGCTCCTCTGGCATAAAAGTGATATGTGTCTCAAAGGAAATTAAACTATCAATATTATAATATGAAAATGAATTGTTATGTTCCTTCAAGGCTCCTTCCAAACACGCTGCCATACCTGTGAGAAAAGAGCTAAGAGACCTTCATATTAAAAAAATATGTAATTGATGCAAGATGAGTTTTCATGAATTTTGTTTTTACAAAACACATTATTCACGCACAACTTGTCCTTCGAATAGTGTAATTTAAGAATTTGAACAAAAATATGGGCTTGAAACAGTTATATACTACACAAGTGTATGGAAAAACTATTTTCTCAACAATTCAATTATTATAAATGAATTAATAAATGTCTAAACCAGCATAGTCCTCCCCTGCCACATTTTAATTATCATATTGTTATTATTCATTTTTTGAAAATAAAACAGGCCAAAACCAGTTCTATCCCTATAATCTAGTCCATCAATTTTTTTTTGCAAAGCCACCATGGTTCATTTTCTGTCATTTTACTTATAGCGTTACATCAGTTTCAAATAAAATGTCATTTTACTATAATATATTTATGTAGTGCATATACAATATACATACATTAATTACATACATTGCTATATACCTACCTATTCACGATATACGTACATTACCATAATATATTCATAGCATACATACATTGCCATATACTTACCTAAACGGTTTAAAATTTCATTACTTGCAAACAAGCGGCATATTATCATATGGTGAACATATGTTTCGCTTACACTTTATGATGTGTATAACAACAATGCATACCTTTATGTTTATATTATACATTAGAGTATAAAGCGGTATGCATAATGCTAATATGAAAAATGCAAGCCTATGCATTTTCAGTCATTATTATTGTTTGACGTAATTTTAAGTAATGAGTGAATGAAGGTATATGAATTGCACTTTCTTTTCCAGGAAATAGAAATAATTAACTAGAAACCTAGATTTTAAGAAACATATTGTAAATATTACAATAACAATTTAAAGTAAATTTAGAATAAGAATTTAGTATAAATAGTAGAATAAGTTTTTAAAATAAACAATCAAAGTTTTGAATCGAAACTACAAACATCTTGTTTTTCTTTTTAAAACTGAAGATTCTCCAAATCGGCAGTAGTACCAAACTTGGATAGTTCGGCGTTTATCGCCATTAGGGAAAACATAATTAAAATATAAATAAACCACAAACTTATTACATGGTAACCCTGCCAAACATAATTTTATTACATGGCGACCCATGCCACAACTAAACCTACAATAAGACCACCAACATCTAATAACTATGTAGAATTAGAAAGACCACCCACACTAGGGAAATTTTTGGATCTACCATCAACACCTGAGGGACCACTAGCAACAAAATACCAAGAAGAAATTGAAGAAGTTGACGAACAAATCAGAAAGACAAAAGAAGCAATTGAGAACCTAAACAAAAAGAAGACAATCAGCGCGAAAGAATACCTCAACAAGTATATACTCAAGAAGCCAGACAAACAACCCAAGCCCAAGAAACAAAAAACAAGAGGAGGAAGATTGGTCAAATTAAGACAAAAGAAGGCAGAACTACAATATTTAATACCAATATCAAAGAAATTTTTCAATATTTAATACATTAATCAAAGAAAAGCATGCCAGCAAGAACTAGACGTAATAATAAAAGAGCTCAAATTCCGTAAAAATGGGAACAGGAACTAGTAAGAATGAAGAAATTACAACGTTTAACAATCAACCATCAGAGATCCAGCCCATACAACCTACCATTACAACAAACCAGGAACAAACAATAGTAATACTGATAATAATACTAATAATCTTAACCATCGTAAAAATACTACTTAAATACTTTGCTACTTATTTAAAGAAAACGATTAAGAAAGAACTAACAAATATTACTGTTTAAAATAAAGAATATATAAACAAAAAATTCTCTTTTAATGTCCATCAATGAATTGTTACAACAAATAGAAACCCTAAAGAAATTAGAAAATCTCTATTCTAGGGAAAAAAGAATAACAAATTCAGACTTAGAAGAAAGAAAAACAATAATAAATAACATCAAAATAAAATATAACAATATATTGAAAAATAGCGCTTTAGATAAGCAAATTAAAGCAGCAATACATGAAAAATTCTTGAAAGTATACATAAATTTAACAAAAATTACAAAACTGGAGAATATAACAGAACAGGATACAACCCTGACATCAGATACAAGTAGTGAAGATAACAACACAACAATAATAAAAGAAGCAACAATGGAGTTTGACATAGATAAGACAATTAAGATAATACCTCTATTTAACGGTGAAAGTCAAAATTTAAACAATTTTATAAATCTAACCAAATATTTATATGACGCAACAAAAGAAACAGAATACAAGAATAAATGAAAAAACAAGAAACAAAATAATAACAGAAGCTAAACCTGAAAATTTCGTTGAATTCGAGAAAATATTTAACAAAGTTTTTTCAAACAGAAAAAACCAAACTACAATACACACTGAATTATCAACAACAATACAAGCCAACAGACCACTCAACAAATATATAGAAAGAATAGAAAAAATGATAGCTGAATTAAATATGGTACAACTACTCGAACTAGGTGAAGAACACAGAGCAACCATAGTAAAACTCAATGATCAACTTGCTCTAGGGACTTTCAAAACAGGATTATCAGAACCCCTACACTCACTAATATTCGCAGCACAACCCAAAACATTCAATGAAGCTGTCAAAATTGCCACTGAAGCAAGCACAAACAACAAAACAACAACAAATAACATCCTATACTACAAAAACAACTATTATAACAAAAATAATAAAAACAACAACAAATACAAAAACGGTCTTAGGTATAGTAACAATAGGTTTCACAATAAAAATAGCTTCCAAAACAGAAATAATAATTTCCAAAATGGGGAAATTCACAATAATAACGATAACAATAATAAAAATAGAAATAATTAACTAGAAACCTAGATTTTAAGAAACATATTGTAAATATTACAATAACAATTTAAAGTTAATTTAGAATAAGAATTTAGTATAAATAGTAGAATAAGTTTTTAAAATAAACAATCAAAGTTTTGAATCGAAACTACAAACATCTTGTTTTTCTTTTTAAAACTGAAGATTCTCCAAATTGGCAGTAGTGCCAAACTTGGATAGATCGGCGTTTATCGCCATTAGGGAAAACATAATTAAAATATAAATAAACCATAAACTTATTACATGGTAACCCTGCCAAACATAATTTTATTACATTTAATTTAGTGGATGTGCAAGTTATGTTTAATGTTCTCGTTTTCGAATTTTAGTAAATATTATGGACAACCGGGAAATTAATCTTTGGGTGAATGAAAATATAACAACAGCCAATACCAGACGTGGTAGAAAGGAACTGGTAAATAAAAACAATTGGAAAAAGGAAAAGGAAAAAATTGCTAGGCAAGTGTATGTCTGAAGATCTACTTATACATATCAACATTAAAAACATTAAAACTTAATGATTCAGCAAACAAACTTCCACATCAATCAATACGTTATCACAAGAAGCTTACTTTGAAATATTCAAAACTTCATGAAAAATTTTAACAATCAAAATACGCAATTATTCAAGATAAATTCATCTTAAAATACACTGCGACTACCAAACCTAAAAAAAATAGATGCAGAAAAAACAAAACTAGTAATACAGTTAACATTAATAATTTATACCTCATTTATCAAGAATTACAGTTATAAGCTAGCTGCAAATATGTCAAAAGACTTTTGTTGATATTTTAGGTAAATAAAACAATAACTTTATTATTATAATACGTACTTTCGTAATGCACCTGTTGCTCTAGATTTGCACGCTCCCTCATATAGGAATTTTTCGGTTTATATTGTTTTTAGAATTTAAATGAAATTCTTTATTTTTAATTTATTACCTTGTTAATAATAATTTATTTTACAATTCCTGTTTTTAAAATGAGTTAAACAGATAAATTTGTTCTAAAACCGAAATAATTTTATTTACTTAAGTTTGTATCTGCAAAGATATTTTGCTTGACATATCAACGTAAATTTAACATTTTTTTCGGTTTTAGAATTTTTTAAAGAATTCTTTAAGCCGTGTAAATTGAAAGGTAGTAAGTGTTGCTTTGATAAGTCTACGTTATATCGTTTATAAATCCAAAATTAATGTCGAAATCGTATCCAGGGGATATGCATAAAAAACATTTTGAGACAAGAACTATGTCAATAGAAGCTAGACGAGGAGATATATCTGAAATTTTCTTCAATAGAAGACGGATTTCTGCAAAAGCAATTATTGACTTACACACTGAGTGGATACTACACTGAGTGAAAAAAATTGGAAAATTAAAATTTTGCATACTTAAGTTTCTTTAACAAAAATGTTATTTTGACTATGAAAAATGTTAAATATAAAAAGAAATAATTTAATTTAACTATGTTAAATATAAAATTTTCTATTCTTAATATCAAATAAAAAAATTTTGATTATTAATTTAAATTTGTTTTAATTTCATTTTAATAGTTATTGCAAACATAAATTAACATTTTCCAAAGCTATTTCACTTAAAATAAGTTTTTTTAAACTAAAGATAAATTAAAATTATGTTATTTCAATATCAAAATTTAAAAATCAAATTTTTAAATTTTAAAATTACATTTGTAGTTTAATCATATGACAAGCTTAAAATGAAATCAATCAATTTTGAAGATTTTTCAAACTTAAAATAAAATGTATTGAGCATATTTTTTTCATATTATAACGGGACAAATTCGAGCAGAATTATTTTCTTTCTCATAATTCGTTCAGTTTTGCTCTGACCATGCTTGGTTCCGCGCATATGCACGTATAAGACAAAAATAAACGTGTTTTACGAGAATTTTTGAGATAATTTGATAATTTGTTGTTTTTTTTTGTTTTTTTGAAAATCGATAATTAAAGTTTTTGCAAAGGATTTTTACATATATGGGCCCTCGAGTTGTATTCTTTTGAACTGAATCTAAAATTAATCAAATAATAAAACGTTTTTATTTCAACGAGTTAAGTTTTGAAACTACATTTGATTACAAATTTAAAATCAAAAATTTCAACCAAATCTATCGAATTTCCAGAAATCAAACTTCAAAAAAGTCAAATTATTGTCACTTTTTTATTTATCAAAATAGTTCTAAATTTTTTTGAAGTCATGTTTCATTTTCATTATTACTCGTATATAAGTACACAATACTATTTACAGGGTCATTTTATATACAATAAATGTCGCTGTTATGATATAAACATACAAGTTAACGATGGATCAAATAGACGTTATGTGTTATACTTCTGTGTGGCATATTTCATCGTATAAAAAAGTGCAGAGAAAATCACAAGTTTTAATGTGCTAAGTAAGGAAATATGTTACTATAAATTAAGTAAAACTTGGATTTAGACTTCAGTCATAGATTTTTATAGTATAAATAAATACATAGATAAATGTAAATTTTAATGTAATTGAAGTTAATTTGCATTGCAAAAATTAAATTGCATTATAAAATAAAACCAGTGTTATAAATGCTTTTTAAACTCTGAATTATTTTTTTAATAAAAACCGAATTGAAAATTCGTAACTGACATGCATGTACATATATATATAGTACAATAACATTATGTTATATTGCTATGAGAATGCATACTTTGCATTTTCATCGCTTTGCAGTGTATATAAAAAGATATCTTTTTTTTAATAATACTACAATCAAGGACTTGACAGCATATGACGCTGCTATAATTTTTTTAAAAATAAATTTCTGTAAAAAAACTGCACTCGTATTTAGACTTTACTGAACACTTTTAAGTTGCAAACCACATATTATTAAACATTACATGACGACCAACATTTAATATTACATGGCGACTATTTAATATTACAGATTTGATTTTTTAAATCTTGACATATAGCAAATTTAAATATTTAAATAGGGAGTTATCAATCAGATAAAATAATCAGACACTGACAAAACTTAGATATTGTGTATAAAAATTTTTTAATTGTATAAAACAAAAGCTTTTAAAGATTTTGTAAAAGAAATTAATTAAAAATATATATATTAAAGAAGTGGGATATTTTTAATTAACATTTGAAAAGTGAAATATTTACCGAAATAAATTTTTTAATTAAATTCAGTATAATACTCATATTATAAAGCGCAGTATGTGAATTCAGTATAATACTCATATTAACAGAATATATGTGAAGAATGAATTACATATTGTATACCTAGTCTTAAATTCAATTCTTTCATTATACCATTTGTATTTTCTCATATTACAAACAACAAATGATATTAATGAGCAAATTGTAGAAAGTAGAACGTTTCTTTTTTTTATTTGTTTCTTTATTGTTCATGAAGAAAGTGTCAAGTAATATTATAAAATATTTAAATTATGTGTACCACTTACAATTTAGGACGCTTGATACAATCTTTTCTTTGTTATGTATAATGTAAAACTAAGAAAAGATTGCGAGGTACCAAAATGGAAGCAAGCAAGTAGTCAGTCAACGTATTGGAGTCAAAATGGACGGTTGTCCAATCAAACTAATAAATTTAATAAACTAATATTAATGACCTTAATGAACTTAAATTAATAAATTTAATTTATTTAATTGTTTTCCTATTTTATGTTGTAAATTGTATCACTTCAGTAAAATAATAAAATTTCTATAACAAGTACGAATACAAAACCAACAGTAGGATTTTTGTTAGAAAAATACGGAATAATAGAGATCCCGCAATATGGTACCTTACTCTAAATCAAAAAGGTATACATAAATTGGCGACGAGGATATGGCACAAATGTTGTGTTTGATACTGATTTTAAAATAATTTATTAAAGGTGTATTCAAGGTAATCATTGTTATCAATACAAAATTTTTACTACATAATGAGGAAATTGGAATACTGCTGCAAAGAAGTTCAAAATTTTAAACGATCACAATGTCATCAAGTAGTATTGAAAACGCACTTTCATTTTTAAGTGAGCATGCCCAGATGAAAATTAAAGAAGCAATCTTCTAGAGATTAAAACATGGATGTGACGATCTGCTCGCAACTTCTCTTTAAGAAATCGCTAGAATGCGACCGAGAAATTGTGCAACTAATAATGCAAATGAGCTATATCGGCAATTGCTAGGGCTCATTATCGGACAAATTTTAGTAACGTTGCAGGCGTGACGGTGAATCAACACCGTCCTAGATATTATGCCTCGTATATGAGGATATGCTGAGAGCAGAAATTGTGTATGTTAGTTAAGTCATAATCATATTTCAATTACTTATCAAATAATAACATTCATTTTGTTTTTTCTTTAACAGAGACCCAAGTGATGGTGAAGAATCCCCAGACTGATAGCTGAACTTTCCGCAAAAAAATTATATTTTTCGTATATAAAAAAGAGAAATATAAAATCAAAAAAGAACATAATAAATCTTATTTTGTTATTTTTCAGATTTTGCACATAAGTCAGTTTTTCAAAAATAATATGTTATAACACCTAAGCGTGCTGTTATAATAAAAAGTTTCAAAATTTTCAGAACACTTTTTTTAATAAAATAATAAACAGAAAAAAAGAAACCAATTCTTTCAATAATTTATTTATTAATTACACAATCTTTAAAATATGAAACTAAATATTTATGTTATATAAACAAGTAAAAAATTAAAATCTTTTTTTCAGATTTTTTACCAGTTTTTAGAAAAACAGTATTGTTAATGTAATGTAAGTAAATACTCATATTACATATAATATTACCAAAAGATATTAACTTTGTTGTTAAAAGATAATAACTTTTTAATTTTATATAATATAAATTTCTATACTCATATTTTGATCACTGTTTAGGTCTTCTCCTGGATTTACCTAATTTCTCAAAAAATTATAGTATAAGCATAAATTCCTTGTTTTCCATAATTTAAGAAAAGATATAAAAGAACTAAAATAAATTTTTTACATAACAAAAGTAAATTATTCTATTATAAGTTGTCAATTTTTTTAATTAAAAAAGAAATTATAGTAATAAGTGTGTGAAATAATAGTTTAGTTTAATTTAAATTTACTTATTTCATTTTAATTCTGTTTATTTATTGAAATTTTTTAAATTATATCAAACAAGCAATTAATATAAGCAAATAACAAGTTTTCCAAAAAACAAGCAAACCCTGGAAATTAAAACACCGGTGGCCGGAACATTGATATAAGAATCTAAATATTTATAAGAAAGAAAACGTACTTAGCCAAAACTTGAAACACTTATTAAGTACTTATTAATCACATTAAAATTCTAAAAAATTTATTACTTAGTAGACAATATTATTGAGAAATTTTCTAATCAATAATTATTGAACTACATATGTTCAATTTGCATATATTTTCAATTTTTAACAAAAATATTTTATCCAGTCATCATTTAATATAAAAAATATATATCTCAAAAAATTTAAGCATCCAACCTACAATAATTCAATGACGAAAATTCCCGAAAGCTTTTGCGTTTGTCCCTAAATTTCATCAAGTATTGAATTTGAAATACGATCGCCAGTATAGACAAATATGGAATTTTTCCGAAGAATCTTTTTATGTACTGACAATGCCAAATCCTTAATAAACGTGAACTTAACAAATAATTTTCTAAATTAATATATTGATAACTAAATGTATCTATACCTATTTTTAATTTTTTTAGCAAGCTAATAATGTTGAAGGTGGTAAATATCAATATGTCAACAGTTAAACAACAGCATTTTCAGCATTCACAGTGCAATAATTGCGAAAATTAAATAAGTTAAGTAATATTAATTAACATACTTAAGTCAGTGTTACGATTTTTGGTATAATTGCACCAATTTAGTATTTTTTTTTCATTTTACTTATTTCTGGAAAAAGAAGTTAGTGTAATTGTTTAGTGTACTTAAGTACACAGTGTAATTGTAAAAAGATGTGAACTTAATTAGTGTGAATTAATGTCAACATCGGCGTTCGTATGGAATTGCTGTCTAACAAGCACATGCGATTGACAATGTCATATTAATAAATTACAATGTTTTTATTAACAATTCGTAGTATTTGATTAAAATTCGTTTCTTTCTTCACTTATTTGAAGGTAAGCTATCATTTTATATGTCAATTGTAAAAGGAACTAAAAAATCAGATAATTATCAAACCGACTATGTAATTAATTATCAAACGAACTATTGAAGAACAACTCACTTTAATTTATGTTTCGTGAGTTGATTTTTCACTTTCATATTTTTATTAAAATGCTTTTATCTGACAATGATACATTGATAAGGCGAAAATGTGAAAATAACACAGTTTTACATAAAAAATGAAAGGAATTTAAGTTCTGTGAATTAATGTCAAAAGCGTATCATTAAATAAAAAATATGAAGTTCTGCAACAAATTTTGGTTTAGCTGGGTAAAAATTGAAATTAATAGGTTAATTGCAATATAATTAAAATTACATGTTTTCTTCAATATAAAGCTACATCTCCACTCAAAATACTGAAAACGATACAAATATCGTTAATACTGAAAACCCTAATAAGAATAACAACAATACAAATATTGTTCTTTTAGATTACCCACTAAAACTGTAACAAATTCAATCAAGTTTAATCATTACTTTCTTTCTTTTTATTTTGTTTTCTTTTCTTTTAATAATTTTTTTTGCATCATATTTCCAAACAAAATTTATACATTAACGTGAACGAACGACCCACTTAAAATCGTTTATTTTGCATTTCATTTTTTCTTATTATTGTTTTTACATTGTGTTTAAACCTAATGTGACGTATAATGTAATGACTAATTATTAACATTTGGTTTGCATATTGAGAAGTATTTTTAAATATTTTACAATTATTATAAGTGTTATTTTAAAGAGAAGCAAAATTAACAATGATTTTGTAATGCGTTCTAAATTAAAAAAGTATTTTTGTTTTGTATAATTTTTGAAATTTTAAGAACGTTTTAAATTTTTGTAAAAACAATAAAGTTCAGTTTACTTGTTACCAATAAAGCGATTAGTCGATCGAGTTAACATTAAAAGAAAACCGTTTGTTTTTTATTCAATTTTATTATTTTTTTTCTGTGCAGCGCCTTTGTACGTTATTGGCGCAGAATCGGTAGGATAAATAAAAAAACTGTTAAAAATTAAAATAAACAATTGAATAATAAAGGTTTCATTATAAAAGTAAACTCAAAAGTGTAGTGAAATAACTACGTGTTTAAATCATAGTAAAAAGTAAAATTCTAAAAATACCGTTAACATTTAAAGTAACTTTACTGACATTTCGGTATTAGAATTTTTGGAAAATAGTAGCAACAATAAAAAAAAAAATTTTTCTGTGACTATTAAGAGTAAACAAATAAAAATAACAACATAATAATAAAAATAACACAATTACAAAAATAAAAAACAATTTTATAAAAAATTAATCATAATAACAAAAAAAAAATAAATAAAATAATAAGCAACATGGAATAAAAGAATAGCATATACCAGAATTAAAACTAGCGTTGGACCCGATGAGATATATAGCGGATCTCCCTGATTTTATTGGTCAGTCAGAAGAATTATATAAGTTTTTAGATTTAATAGAAAATATAATACTATTACACTAATAGTAAAATATGATCAAAATAATTAAATTATTTTGATTAATAGAATTAAAACCAAATTAACAGATAGAGCTAGAGAAGTTGTTGAAATAAACAACCATGTTATAAACTGGCTTGAAATAAAAAAAAATTCTATTAGATAATTTTAGTGAAAGAAAAACAGCTTTGCAATTTTTCAAAGAATTGCAAAGTGTAAAATTTAGAAGAACGAGCGTAGACCTCTATGAGATAAAAAAAAGTGTCACGTAGATTAAGCAACAAAATAAAAGATGAGCCAAATGCGGAGGCCATTATCCTAGCCAATATTCAAACTGGGTTGCGAATATTTAAGGAAATATTACCTAAACCAATAAGTTCAATCATTTTTACCCGCAACCCAGCCTTATTAGAAGATGCTATTGAAGTTCTGTATGAAGGAAATTATGCGGATTTTAACCCGTATAATTCAAATTATAATTAAAATTTTAACACAAATAAAACATTTTTTCAAAAATAGCAGATCATATTACAATAAAGCTAACAATAATACTAATAACAATAATAGTAAACATAATACTAATCCTATAAGTAATAACAACTCAATACCCCAATAACAAATTTTCCCAATTGTGATGAAAAGACTTCAAACTCAATTGATAAAACACACAAAATATTTATTTTAAAAAACTAAAAAAATGCTAACGTTTCTAAAAATTCAAACCACTCTGATCAAGCAGAAGGAAGAAACAAAATCCAAATTATCGTGGTAAAAACTGTAATGCGGACTTCAAACATCTCAACGCAGGGAAGAAGCCCAACGTTCCACCCAGACCACAGAGTTAGAAATTACCTTCGTCGTCAAACACAGAAAAAACAATTCAACTCCAACCGAGATGAACCAATTTTTAAAGAGACAATTTTCGGACCAGCAATTCAGATAAGGGAAAGCAACATGAAACAAACTTTCCAACCTATAGTTGTGTTAGTTTAACTCAAATAACTAATGAAGCATGGCTAGAATTACGTGTCGATGAACAACAAATCGATAAAAAGATGTTAATCGGAGGCTTACGGTACTTTAATACCACAATGCTTTGGATAAGAATGTTTCAATTAAAAGGGAGTAATAATTTTATTCTTTTTGAAGGTGAATAAAATCTAAAATTATTTTTTATTCAATTTTTTTCAAAAGACGCCCTTATTCGTTAAGTGGCATAGTCCCGGTAGGAGAAAAAAAATAAAGAGGGTAGATTGAAAAGTAAAAGTTACACAAAAAATAACTATTGAAATATCAAAAGTAAAAAAGTGAACTCAGTATTCATTAAGTACGGTCGCGTTATTAATTACCGAAAAAGTTAATGATTAAAGTAATATTATATATTCAAATTATAAAACAATTGCAGAATAAAATACAAAAAGAAAAAGAAAGAAAACAAATTTTTTTTTGTTTTCGTTGTTTCCGTTAACATGTAAACAAATAAATTTTATATCAAAAAATATTTATTTATTTATTTATTTATTTATTTATTTTTATTTCAAAAAATCCTCTAAAAGAGCCTAAGCTCGTACAGAGTGTTCTCTTATTAATTATTTAATATTGTATAACAATTTGACTTTAAATTAAAAATTCTAGTAATAATTTCATATTGCTAAATGTGAGAAAAAAAAAAAAAAACTTAATAAAAATTTAAACAAAATATAACAAAATTTATAAAAAGAAAAAAAAGTGAAAAAGTAAGGAGAAAGCAAAACTAGGTAGAAAATTTGAAAGTTACAACAGTTTAAAAAAATGTTTATATTTTCAATACTTTTCTAAGAAAAATGATTTAATGTTTTTCATTATTTTTGATGTATTGGAGTTATTAAAATCGATAATTTTTAATAATTTGTTGTACAGAATAGCACCTGAATTTAAAATAGGTTGTAAACCTTGTAAGTGTAATCCAGCATCAAATCGAATATTTTTAGCATTACGGGTGTTATAATTATGAATTTCATTGTTTGATGTTAATTTCACATTTGATTTGATATTATCAGCTTGAATGTTGTGTATGTGGAGTGCTTGTAACGTACTTATTAAATCACATATTTTTAAAACATTATAATTTTTATGTAATTCATTTGTAGGCGTTCTGTGATGTAATCTACGTAAATTTTTCAAAGCTTTATTTTGTACTTTTTGTATTGCATCCAGGTTTTTAACAAAGGTGTTACCCCATATTGCTATGCCATATGATATTTTACTATGAAATAAGCAATAGTAAATTTGCATTTTTAGATTTTCTGGTATTCTATTGCCAATTTTTTTGAAAATACCGGCAATTCTACTAGTTTTTTTGATAACATCATTATATTGAAGATTCCACACGAGGTCTTGATCAAAAATTACACCAAGATATTTATAAAAGGATACTTTTTCTAATATGACATTGCTGTATTTAATTTCAATTGTTTTATTGTTTGATTTGAGCATCATATACTTAGTTTTCGCCGTGTTAACAGTGAGTTTGTGTAGTTTCATCCAAGTCTCTATTTTAATCATGTCTTCGTTAGCTTTTTGTTGCAGGTCATCATATTTTTCGTCAGAATATACTACAACAATGTCATCTGCGTACATGTATAATTTTCCATTCAACTGTAGTTTTGAAAAACTGCTAATGTAACAGGAGAATAAGCCTGGACCCATCGAACTACCCTGGATTACACCAAATTCAATTGATCCTATTTCACTTTCAATTTGCTCGCATATTGTGTATTGTTTTCGGTTTTTGAAATAGTTTTTGAACCAAGCATATTCCCAACCTGTCACACCACACTCAAACAATATCCTTAATAAAGTGGTTCTGTCTACAGTGTCGAAAGCCTTTGACAGATCAAAAAACACCAAACACACTTTCTTTTTCATAGACACCTGGTTTTGAATGTAAGAAACAACATCAAAAAGAGCTGAGTTTGTGTTTGATTTTCTTGTAAAACCGTACTGCGCATCAGAAACGAGATTGTTATTTCTCAGGTGTTTATTTAGTTCACTTATATCGTAAGTCTCCAATAACTTACTAAGAGTAGATGCTAAGGAAATCGGTCTAAAGTTGTTGATGTCTGACTTATCTCCGGTTCCTTTATAGATAGGTATTACCTTAGTAATTTTTAGTTGGTCTGGCACAATACATTGTTCAATACTCGCATTAATGAACTTCATAATAGGATTCGCTAGCTCATTACGACATTTAGCAGCTCCATCTGTTATAATTTCCTTAATGTAGTTCCAAGTTTTTTCAGAATTGTTTTTATATTTACTGAAATAATAGTTGTCATATTGTTTTTGTTTTATACATTTGACTTGCGTTAATTTATTAAGCCAATAATGATACTTGTTTTTCAAACCCTCATTATTTAGATTTTTTATATGCTTTCTATGCCAATAATTTTTTGTGGGTATCAATTGTAGACATTCTTCGTCAATCCATGGCTTACTAAATTTAGCTAATTTTTTACTTTTATGATTGTTTGTGGCAACACTCAAAACATTTTGAAGCACAGTTTGAAAATTTGTGTAAATTATTTGACAGTCATTTGAAGTTGTATCAATATGAAAGCTTCGCAGTTGCTTTTGAACAGTATTTATATTTATTATTTTATTTTTTTTTTATTTTGTATATTGAAATCTACATTAGAAATAATTTTATGGTCAACAACTTCCGTAAGAATGATTGAGTGATCAAACAAATCAGTAAATAAGTTCATTATATTTATCTTTTCAGTTTTCCCGTTGGTAAGAATATGGTCTAGACATGAATTTGATGCAGGTCTTGTTACAAAATCATAGCAAAAGCCAAAGCCATTTGATTCAACAATTGATATGTACTTGTTCACACTTTTATCATTTGTACAACGAATATCAAAATTAAAGTCTCCCAAAATAATTGCATTATTTTTGTTAAAATTGTTTAGGTGAGAATCAAATATATGGAGAAAATTAAGTAAATTTTGTGATTCATTATTTGGGGGTCTGTATATTGCGGAAAAATCGAATTTCATGTTGTTGTTGTTTAATTGAAGAGACAAAAAACTATTGCATTCATCATTAAATTTCGTAATCGAATCTGTGTTATAATTTATTGAATCATGTATGAACAAGCCCACACCCCCACCACGTCTTTTAGAACGACAAGAAAACTCCTTTTTATAATGCGGTATATTTACAGTGTCTATATCTTTATCTAGTATCCAAGATTCCGTAAAGACAATCAAATGTATAGTTGTAGATAAACTATCAAGCATATACGTAATACTATCTAATTTATACTTCAAACTACGTATGTTGATATACATTATTTTTAGTGAATTAGAAAAATTAAAGTAAACTTCGTTCAAACTGTTGCATTGCACCAAATTTGCTTGGGATGTAAATGGTAAATCGTAATGTTCTATCTCGTCTCTTGGAATGTTGTAAATTTATTAAAATCACTGTCACTATAAATACGGACAGTGCGAGACGCTTCGTTATGTTTAAGGATTTTACCATCCCTCACCCATGCAAATTGTATTGTTTTCAATCTTTTCAGCTCTCTTGCTCTTTTAAATAAAGAATTAAAGTAAGGAGATAACTTTTCGTTTATGAAAATATTCTGAGAATTGATATTGACATTGTGAAAAATTTTCTTCGCTTCTAATGTTACTTCCTTTCGAGTATCGAGAATTTTCTTTCTAATCTTCGAACTATTAAGTCTCACTATGATTTTCTTTGGCTCACCTGAATATTTCGAATGTTGTGTTCCAAAATAGACTTGATCAATATCTCTGTCGACAACTTCAACACCAAGCGCTGTTGTAATGCTTTGAACCACTTTGCTAGGTGAAACGTTTGGAATTTCACCTACACCTGCAATTTCTATATACTTCCTAAACTGACGTTGTTTCATCACTTCCATGGTTACTTTATTCATCTTAATATCCTGTTTTAGGCTATCAATTTCGCATCGTAATTCAGTGTTTTCCTGGGCTAGAGAATTGAGCGTTTCCTTACATTCTTTGATGTCGTTCTGAACTTGCTCAAATCTTAAATCATGTTTAGATAACATTTTGCTTATATCATCCAATTTCTTGACCATATCTGTGTTATCTTCCAGTCTATTATGAACTGCTTTAATGTTATTCTGTGTTGGCGTGTTGTTAATGTCAATTCCCATAGATTTGCGTTCTTTCCTTTTTCTGATACATAAAAGGCAGAACCAACATTCCTCAGGATCTGGAGCAATTTTGTTAAAATCTTCAATGGACAATCCTGTGCACTCACAATGGAACCACTTTTTACAGTCCCCATCACATTGAAGTTTTTTATGGTTTTTATTTAAATTTTTCCCACATTTAGCACATAGATTTTTACCCGACATGTTAGCTGTACATATACAAATTAGCGCTAAATTCTGTACAACTAAAAGGCCATGGCTGTGCCATAAATACCGTATGAAAATAAGAGGAGAAACGGGTATAAGATGTTCAGGAGTGTGTGGTAAAATTAAAATAAAGTTCGTCCTCTAGTAGACTCTGTTTTAAAAAATTTTAGATCTGCTTACAAACCCAAAAAAGCACTTTCACTTGATGAATCTCTTCTTTTATTCCGCGGACGCTTACGCTTTCGGGTTTATAATAAAGGAAAGAAAGCAAAATATGGCATCAAATTTTATGAATTAACAACCAGTGATGGTTACGTGTTGAACATGGAAATATACCAGGGCCAACATGAAGGAGAAACCAGTAAGAACATTTCAAAAACGCGTAATTTAGTGTTATTTAAATAAGGGGCATCAATTATACATGGACAACTATTACAATAGCGTCGCCCTGTCTGAAGAACTGTTGAAATACGAAACCCATACAACTGGAACACTGCGAGCAAATCGGAGAAAGAATCCGAAAGACGTGGTAAAAAAAAACTTAAAACTGGTGAACTGACGTGGGCCCGAAAAGGAAATGTGTAGGTCACCAAATGGAAGGATAAGCGAGAAGTTTTACCAATAAGCACGTATTATCACCCCGAATTGATTGAGACTGAAAATAAATACAAATCTAAAAAAATTAAGCCCAAAGATATTGCTAATTATAACTTGAACATGTCGGGCATTGATATATGCGATCAAATGGTGGCTTACTATTCGACGCCGCGAAAAACTTGTAGGTGGTACAAAAAGGTTTTTCACATAATAGACGTTTGTCTATTATTTTCCACATAATAGACGTT